ATGCTGTATTTGAATTATGACTTTTGATTTCTTGTCATTTAGGAGATTCTTTTTAGTTTCCAAGTGAGTTTTTTTCCTAATTTATCCTTTTATTATATAGTAACAATTTTAATTCATTGTGATCTATGAAAGTGGCCATCAATTCTACTTTTCAGAAATGATTGACTTTATGTTGTAGAGACCAATATTTATTAATTCCTGATGTAGAGTTGACCATAATTTGTGTTAAGTTATAAAATATAAAAGTAAATCTACATCTGTCCATTAAATCCCTTTAATTCTTTATGTTAATCAGTCATAATATTTCCTTATTTTTTCCTGTACTTTAACAATATGAGAAATGTGCTAAAGGCCCACCAGGATTACCATCTTGTCCATCTCTTCTCATGTTTTTAACAACTTCAGTTTTTATGTCAATGATGTTACTTAGTCTAATAGTATTCATGGCAATTACATTTTCGTCTGTGAGTTTTAACTATAATCAATGAAAATGACTCTATACTATGCTTTACCTTAGATTCCACTGTGGGATAGAAATACTGTCATCCCTATTTGATTTTTGCTTCTGTTGTATAAAATGTGTCTTTAAAAATGGAATATATTTCATTTCTACCAGAAATTCCTTCATGTTTCTGGTCCAGTAAAGATATGCTTCTCTGTTCTCTGGTGCTACTATAAGTTTTTTCTTATTTTCCTACTTTTTCAATCAATTATTAAGATTATAAGACGTATACACTGACTATTGCACTAAGAAGACCACTTACCATCTATCAATTATTGAAGCTACAATCCTTACATTCATTTTTACTATATATTTTACAATTTTTTAGCTACAATTTGTTAGTTTTTTTTTTCTTCTTGATTTTCTTCAAAGTATCACTGCCCCTACATTCTTATTTTCTGGTGACTATTATAACTACCATAATTTACAATTCGCTAACTGGGGGGAAAACCTAGATATTTATTTATTTTCAAGAACCAAAAATTTATGTTTACACAGCTCTGAAGCCTGAAAGCCCAATTTGTGCTAGCATCTTTCCTCAGTACCCGTGCATAGAGGCCACCAATCCCACTGGATTAGACTCCCACCCATATGATCTTGTTAACTATGAAAACCAGGTACTTTTAAGTCATACAAGCAACATGTACCAGGGAAGCCAGTGCGCAATTTAATTGTAAACAAATTAACAGTTAGTGATATTGCCAAGTGATAAATTTTAATATGAAAAATAAAATGAAGTAGAAGTCAATCTTAAACTTATAAGACATTAGAATATTTATTTATGCCTTGGAACTATATTACAACACATAGATGAGCAGATTATCTGTCTAAGTCTTTACCTACTAAAAGGTCCACATCTGAATAATTTACTGCACAATGCCAAATAAATTAACGGAGTAAGATAATATAATGTGAAGTGACAATCTATGATTCAAAAATGTATTGAGACCTACTCAGAAAAATTCTGTGAGCATACAGGTCTCCCACATTTTACTGATAAAAAAGAATTAAAACAAGTTGTCTCTTGGAGCATCAGAATGATGCAGGTGCTTGACCTGTTCAAACTGGCTAACAGAACAAGTCTGAATGTATATGAGACTTTCAAAATGTATTGTGGAAATAAAAATCAGAACCTTCTTACAGTGCAGATAAGAAAGGATTAGAATAGCAACCAATTTACAAACACATATTTGTCTCTCATACTTCTCTGTCAAACAATGTGTGGTATGGCACTATAATTTTTATTTCTATTATACTTTTTTACTAACAAGGAGATGGAAATGTAAGTTATTTCTGGTAAATACGATATAGGAAAAAGGCATATTCAGCCTTATAAATTGAGAATATAATTGGGTTAAAATAAAAGAATGAGAAATATATTTCCTTAATAATGTTAAAAGAAAAGTGGTGGAAACACTCTCTATTAACCAGAACACTAAGAAAACATTTGATATGAAACAATACCTCAGGGAATAAATTTGAAGAAACAACAGGCCCCTGGGTCTAATTTCTATAATTTCATCTAAATGTCAGTAATGGATAAAAATGAGGGGGGAGGAGGAAGATGACAAAACACATATGTCTTTCTGCATGTAACTCTATGGGAAATCTCTGTTAGAATTACATAATAGTGGAAACTGGTAAATGACATGTAAGACAGATGATCTACAATTATGATCTTTTCCATGCTGCATCTGCAGGCACATAAGTATAGTCCAGAATTAAAATTCTTAGTTTTATCACACCTACAGAATGGCAGGGAACATGTTCCCTCTCATATTTGGGACCAGCTTGAGTAACCCCACCATAAACTCCACGAGGGGAATAATTTATTTTTTGTTTCTTTTTATTTACAGGAAATGTTTCCTCTCCAAAAACAACACTTGCTTACTTTTTGGCCCTGTCATCAAGTAGGGTGAAGCAAAACGTATGCCAAGAGAAATCAGATTATTTTGATGGGTTTTTTTTTTTTTTGGCTCATTTGCCTGAAACAGTGAGACAGGATCAGAGAATGTGAGTTGTGAACAAATCTGAAAGTTTCCTGAGTTCAGTTCCACAGAGGTGAGTAATGTGCCTACAACCATTTTCATGGCTAAAGGGAGTGGTATAAAAAGATGCTGAGTCCTGTTCCAGCCCAGTGCAAGTGATGAAAGAGCCTGACGCATAACTGACTCCAGCCACTCCCATCCTAAGTTCTGAAGCCAAAGAAACACTGCTGAGGATGTGACTTGTGGCAAGTTGCCTCTCTGTCTTCCTTCATATGACAGCTTACTATAATAGTAAATAAAGCATCCCTTCTGGAATCTAATCTCACATTTTCAAAGGTCACAGGCAGCTTGCAGCAAATTTTTATACTTATATGAAGAACATTTAAGAAAAGCAAAACATTTACAATGTAGTTTTCCCCTTGATCTCCCTAGTAAATAAAATTTTATAACATTTGCTTGGCATCCCATTTTAAGGCACCCTCAGCAGTTTTCTTTCGTTGCTTATGTTGGAAAGTTGATTCATGTTAATCTTTAAAAAGAGTTCACACATTCTTTGGCCTCTTCTTTTTTCTCAGAACCGTAGAAGAATGCCGTTGACCAAATGGCCCAGCAGGGAGTTGTTGGCACACTGGCTTCTAAGAGGCTTTCTATACAGTTCACCAGTATCAAGATCTGACCCTTAGTCTTGCAGGCTCAGAAACTAGACTGGCATGCTGAAGACAGATCCATTTCTCTGGAGTGAAGTCACAGTAACGAAGTTGACAAGACTGATTTATAAAATCATAATTGTATTAATGCACAGGAAATAGGTCTGTTCTGGAAACCAGAGTACATGCACCTGCAGCGCCAGTCCCGTGCCTCAAGACCAGATCACTAATTTATAATAAGAAATACTGTCAAAGTAACCAGTATACTTGAGAGGATATGAGAAATGCATTATTTCCCTATGAGCTAGCCTACATCAGAAAGGAAAAAAATCAGTATAGGAAAAGTCAAATTCATGGAATGTTTAATAGCATGGATTCGATGTATCCATCTCACAATAAGGATGCATATTTGTCAGGGACTTGGAATTGTTAAGAAATTACTGGCTATGACCTGGTGTCGTGTCTCATGCTTGTAATCCCAGCACTTTGGGAGGCCAAGGCAGGAGGATCACTTGAGTCCGGGAGTTTGAGACCAGTATGGGCAACATAGTGAGACCTGGTCTCTAAAAAAACAATAAATAAATTGCTTTGCATGGTGTCATGCACCTGTAGTCCCAGCTACTTGGGAGGCTGAGGCAGAAGGATCGCCTGAGTCCAGGAGGCTGAGGCTGCAGTGAACCGTGACCATGCTGAGGCTCTTCAGCCCTGGCAACAGTGAGACCCTGAAGAAAGAAAGAAGAAAGAAAAAGGAAGAAAGAAGAGAGGAAGGGAAGGGAAAGAAAGGGAAGGGAGGAAGGAAGGAAGAGAGAAAGAAAGAAGGAAGGAAGGAAAGAAAGAAAGAAAGAAGGAAGGAAATAAATAAATAAATGACTGGCTATACCTGCTGCATCTGTCTCCACTTAAGAGATGGCTCACCCTGTGATCAGAATACTCAATGCACACTGATACAACTCTCTCTATCCATCTCTACATTAGAGACAAAGGTTCCCTTACTCCAGACAGAACTTGGAAACGCACTTTAATATTTATCTTTTTTTCCTGTTTTCATTATTGATACCTTCTGCCCCCTCTTTATAACTGCTACGCTCCTTCAATAGAATTACAATCAAACCTTACAACCTGAAAATGTTTCAAGGTACATTTATGTATCTCAGTGTTCCATTAGGGTTTGAATTCTGAAGTTTAACCTTCAGAAGACATTAATATTTCCTTATTTCCAGGTTCTTGGGAGAATGTTCAGACCTTCCTCACTATGTCAACCATGCATGACAGGTATACGAAAACCCACTTAAACCGACTCTAAATATAAATTGCAATACTAAGAAACAAATATGTTGATAAAAGGAAACATCAACCAATTTTTCAGAGAACACATTCTTCCACTATTCCTGAAGTAAAAGTGTAAGAACATAAGAAATCACAAGGGCAGGAATTCCTGCTTTGTTCTTTGACTAATCCCAACTACCAAGAACAATGTAGTGCTCAATAAATACTTATTGAATGAATAAATGAATATAATCTACAATATAAACCACATATTAAAAAAAAATCAAAAGCCAGAAAGTGAGACTCTGAAACAATATACATTATCCACTTAATATATCTTACATAGTCTACTAAATTTCAACACATAATGCTTAAACAAAAAATTCCGCTGAAATAGGATAATTATAAAAATACACCATAGTTAATAAGCTACTTAGCAAATGTCTGTTGGCATTTATTAATTACTTCAAAGTTATTTTATTACTCTAATTTTTATCTTTTTTTCAGACATTTTATTCTTTAAAATTACACTTGAAAGAAGGAAGTAGCTGGGAATAAATTTTAAAAAATAAGTGTAGATTAGTGGAAAGCCTTTACCTATGACTTTATTCTTCTTTCCATTTTTTATAGGTGTACAAAGCAAACTTCGAATGCATTGCTGGTTTACATTTCCTGTGTTTTCATTCTAAACAAAAACAAAACAAAAAAAAGCAGCTAAAATGGTAAAGAGACTGATTTGTTCATTAGATGCCATCCATATAAACTGTATGGCATATTTGAAAGCATTATATATTCAATTTTTATCTGCATTGGAGTGCAGAAAGTATACAAATTATAATGACATCACATAAATGCAACATAAAGCAATGTCTTTATTTTTAAAATCCCAGATTTCTTTTTTTATGGTAAACTTTCCAAACACTTACAGTAATAAGTAAAATATTCAGTATCTACTATGCTGTTGTAGTAGATGTCCCAAATAGTTTATCAAGATGGCAGAATCCAAAAAGCATCTAGGATGCTCACTGTTCTAAAGCTGCCCTTCATAAGGACTGTAACTACTATCCATATTGCTGAAGTTCTAAAAAGGTTTAGATATCCAAATAGCAAAATTAAGGCAGTTGCCTCACAGTGCAATGCTTTTCAGAAATAAGATGAGAGAATATACTAGCACTCAAAGTTTTCAGTGTCTGAGGAACAGATCTAAACAGCTTTGTGGACAAGGAAAACAGATATCCATTTTCCCACAGAGCTGCTCATATGGCAGATTGCCAACTGTATAAATTCAAGCCAAAAGGAACTTAATTTTCACAAATAAAACAAAAACTCCAGTAAAACAACCTAAGGAATGTCACTGATATTATGTAGGTAATAGTTAAATTACCTCAAAAATAGTAGATGACAATTTATTAATACACACTTAAAAAATGGAAAAGTACAAAGAAAAATATCCAAGTTTAACTCTCAATAGATGTTATGATCTATTTTATTGCCCTTCATCAGATCAGGGAAAGCACAGATCACTCCTAAACAGTCAAATCCAGGGCCAGTCCTTTAGTTAAAGAGGAACAGTAAGTACAGATATGATAGGAAAACAGCCTCCTAGCTTCAAGTCTAAAATTAGGTTACTTACTGTCCAGGGAAATCTTTTATCCTTACTGACATCTGGGATATTAAGTGGTTCCATAGTATTTTTGACATACTGAGCATACATGTAATTGATTTTGTTTGCATCACGTTCCCTGCAGAAATAACAGATATGAGTTCCTTCTGGGCAGAGAGAAAAACCATGAGCAAACAGAGTTAAATAAATGTTTAAGAAAGAAACATACCAGTCTTAAATTATAAGCCAAAACATATATCTTAATTGGAAAATGCAGCTTTAAATGTGTTTGAGGATTTACAACTTTGAAAGTTACTATAATTTAAATGTTATGGAAAAAAAAAAGCCCACAATTTTTCACCTATCTACAACAAGTTTTTAAAAAGTTGTAAGTGCTAATGGTAATGTTGATTTTTGTTGTCAATTAATGTAAAATTCATACGGGTTTTTCTATGTCTTATTTTGTCATCAAATCATAGAATGACAAAGGTCTAGCAGTTGCTTTACTTCCTCAAGTATTTATTTTATCTGTCCATCCCAATAAAACAATATATTATACATTTTAAGACCAAGGGCAACATCAACCAACACAGAAGAATTTTACTAATCTCTTCTTTCTACTTGAACTTTTCCCCCTTTCTTCTCTGCCTTTTTGTTTTGTCCTCCTTAATATCATTTTCTTTGTTCAATTTTCTCACTACATGTTTCTTTTTCTGCTTTGAGAACCATTACAATCCTCTTAAAAATGAACAATTTATCTTCCTAAAATTTTTTTAAAAACTTACAATATTTTACTGGTTTTGTTTCACTCTATTGCCTAATAGATTGGACATAAAAGATTAATCTGAGGCCAGAGGGTACAGTGTCAGTGAGGGGAGCGAAAAGCAGAACAGAACATGTTTTTTCATCAGGAAACTCCGTAAGTTCCCTGGTGATGGTGCCGTTTTCAGCAAAGAGGGTCAGGTTATGGAAACCGATTACAACTGTAGGGATATGCTTACTTAATTGTAATGTCACTAACTGAAGAAATATAGGAAAGCCTAATAATAAGAGACAACTAAAAATAAAACACAGTTGATCCTCTCTATTCATAGGTTATGCAGTCTCAGATTCAACTGACCATAGATGGAAAATAATTCAAAGGAAAAAAAACATAGCAATATAAAAATAAAATAATACAAATTTAAAAAATGATACAGCATAACAACTATTTACATAGCATTTACATTGAACTAAACTTTCTTTTTTTTGAGTCAGGGTCTTTCCCTGTCCCCCCAGCTGGTGTTCAGTGGCATAGTCATGGCTCACCACAGCCTGGACCCCCTAGGCTCAGGTGATTCTTCTGCCTTAGCCGCCGGAGTAGTTGGAACAGTCACATGCCATCTCACCTGGATCACTTTTTTATTTTTTTGTAGAGGCAAGGTCTCATTATGTTGCCTAGGTTGACCTCATACTCCTGGGCTCAAGCGATCCTACTGCCCTGGTCTCCCAAAGTGCTGGGATTACAAGTGTAAGCCACTGTACCCAGTCTGCATTAAGTATTATAAGTAATCTAGAGATACCTTAAAGTAAACACCTTTCATGAGATGATGTGTGTAGGTTATAGGCGTATACGATGCCATTTTATATCAGGGACTTGAGAGTCTGTGGATTTTGGTATCCACAGGGTGGAGGATGGGATCAATTCCTCCACAAATGCTGACAGACGATTATATACGTATCAGGAAAAATATCTGCTTGTTCTGAGTTTTCAAAGTTCCAATGTTTCACTCATCTTGTCTTTTGCATCCTATCTTCCCCAGCTACTTCTTGGGACAGTGATTTCCTATGGTGTCCCTGAGTGCTAGTGATTCCACAAAGATTCCTGAACTCTGTGGTCTCATTACTGGCCAAGATATTTCAGCCTTCTCTTTCTTTGCTGTACATTTTAGTTTAAGTGTAATTAGGTCCAACCAAGTAGTGCCCACTTGTCAAGTATTATGTATAAGTGAAAAAGAAGGAAAAGGGAATGACAGAATGGTAACAGGAGTAATGAACTTTAAACTGAACAGTTCTCCAGACTAGACTGGCAGTCTGTGAAGGTAAGCCAATTATTGTACACATCAGGCCGAGTATACTCCTGGAGTCCTATTTCATACATATTTCCTGGGTGACATTCAAGAAAAGGTTATGAGATAAGTGCAAGTTTTAGGTTAATAAAACAACGTTTAAAACGATACAATTTTATAGACAGCAACAGCCTAGAGAAAAGAAAATAAGAAGAAGCAATTGTGAAGTTAAGAAAAATGAAAAGGTGGCTACAGGAGAAAGAAGTACTCTGGGGAAGTAAGTATCTTTGTACAAATCTCTTTTAAAGTGATAACAATACTATTAATAACCATTATTATCCCTATCATCCTTACTAGCAGGAGCCAGAAGAAACCCAAAATAGCAAAATTGTCAGAGACCATATAGTCAGACTTATAGGAGTTGACAGAGAAGCAGAAATATGAAATTACTTATATATCAATAAATACCTAACACCTTATTTAATTCCCTGAAATGTTAAGTTTTCCTGATAGCTATTTAGTGAAGGTGAATATTAGATTTACTAAAGTTATATGATGCCACATTTATTTCTTACTCTGGAAGAAATATTGAGAAATTCTTAGTCCTACACTCACTAAATACAGACTGAGCACCTGCTCCACCAGAGGCAACCTTAGCACCACATGGGAGACAGACTCCTATTGGTCAGGAACTGACAGATACACAGTAGAGGATCTAGTAGAGGGCTTGACATCTAGTAGAGGGCTTGACATCATGGATACTTCATCTGGGTAGAGTTTGGTGCAGAGGTTGCCGGTTTTGCCCTTCAATAACTCTCCTCCCCTTCTCTTTGTCTGGACTCACGGCCACTCAGGATAAAAGCTACATTTCTCAGCCACCTGGTTCTAGTCCCTAGGATATAAGAGAAAAGGTGTGTGACTGCTTCTAGAAACTTCTCCTAAGAGATGCTGATACATGCTCTCTTCTTTTTTCCTTGTCCTCCATCCTACTATTTGGAACATGGATATGATGCTGAGCTGCATTCTTGACCCTGAAGGAAGGGACCATACCCCAGGGGGACAAGGAGGAAAGTCCAAAGGTGCCTGGGTCTCTGAGGCCTCTGGAGCGGAGCTACAGCACCAATCCCGAGCTCTCTACCCCTGGGCTTTTATAGGAGAGAGTGACCATACTGCATTCTTGTTCAAGATATTTTCATTTTGGGTTTTCATGATCCACAGCCAAGCCTAATCCTAACTAACAGTGTTGGTAACAATGCAAGTACCACACATGTGGAGTAAATGGGTAGACAGCACCTCAATGGAATGGATTAGGGAAGAGGTGGCATAAGAGTTTGACTGAGACTTTTTAAAGGGGAGAAAGACATCAGGAATGAAAGGGAGGGTATTTCAGGCAGAACATTGCTGACATAGAAGGGTTCTATGTGTAATTGTGAAACACTAAATGATTTTGGATTATCAAGCATAAAATGATGATTTCAAGCTACAAATGTTAAGCTAGGACAGACTGGAATATTTGAAAAGTACAATACAAGGAATATCGATCTCGTTCTGTAAGTAACAGAAAGAGCAGTTGATCAGTGTCTCCAGTTGCTGTGCTCAAAGCCATCACCATGTTTGCATGGAGGCCACACCGCCCAGGGTTGCTCCCAGACAAAAACTGAGCACACCGAGGATACTAAGGTAGGTCTAATCCTGGGAGACCCAGGATTCTTCTGACAGGAAACTTTTGCTAGAGGACTCCCCAACAGCCCTATCAAACCTTGCTGAGAACTGCTCAGCTGTCTACAGCTCTCCCACACAAACTTCCTTCCTTCCTCATCCCACTCATTCACTCCGGGTCAGGCTTTTTGTGGTAGGGCTCTCCTGGCTCCTTCCCCCGACTGTCACAAGGTGTTTTGTTTCCCTTAATACATTTCTACATGTTTAATCTAGCCTTGGCATCTGTTTCTTAGAAAACCTGGGCTAACTCACATATCTAAGGCTCTTTGCACAGTGTGTTTCAGTGGAGTTGTACAAGAATGCATTCTTAGAAAGACAAAAATTTCTTCCTTGAAACATGCAACTTGGAAAGACAAAAATTTCTGTGCTTTAGAATTAAAGGGAATCATTGCAGGCCAATGTAAACCAAAGACTGAAAAACACATCAAAAAGACACAGAAATAATAACTAACACTTACTGAGTACTTACTATAAACCAGATATTTTCTGAAGCATTTTACATGCATTATCTAATTTAGTCCCTACTATGATCCTACTATAACTATAGACGAAGAAACTGGGGCATTGAGAGGTTAAATAATTTATACCAAGTCCTATAGCTAGCAAGTCTAGTAAATGGTGAAACTCAAATAATTAAATTTAAATACAGTCTGATTTTGACATTCTTCTACTCTACTTCCACAGTTTGAGTAGTAGTCTTTATTTATTTAATCTTAGTTATTTTCTAATATAATACTCAGTAACAAGTATAAGCTAATATATATTCCAAGAAAGTGAGCTTAAAAGATTAATTCTATGTATTTGCCATTTATGATAAAAACTGTACACTTGAATGTAGCATTAAAATATCTATTTCTCAAAATAAAGAGCCAATATAAACCGTACAACACCATACTCATTTTTTCCTTCTAATTGTTGGCTCTTTGGATTGCAGCACATACAGAAACCCCAAAACTTCCCACCATCTGAAAATGAGCAACCCCAATCCCGAGGGCTTGTTACACTGTATCCCACTTATATGATTCTAATAACTGTGTATGCCATTTGCCCTGAATATTTTTTAGTTTTACACTCAACATTTCAAAACTATCTTCAGTGTATTATTTTAATTTATAAAAGATAATAAGTGAATTGGCCGGAAAAATTCCAAATGAGCCATGCTTTTCAACTGATAAATAACTACCTAAAAATGATTTGCTTACTGCTGAACTATCATCCAACTCCCAAGCATTTCATCTCATTGAAGAGAGTTTGGAGTGGCAAAGTGTTTAATGAGAACTAGAGTCCTGAATACCATCAATTAGCAGTTTTAGAAACATAATAAAGAATCTGCTGATGAAAATTAAGTGTCCATATATTTTAGCCCTTTTTCAAGATGCCAAAGTCACTAAACCCCATTTTAATTACGTTTTAAAAAAATTAGGCCTGATATCTAATATTTATGAAAACAAAAAAATATATTTACATGACTAGAAGGTCTTTTATGTAGCACTATAATAAAGGTTAACTTTTAAATGTTTATTTGACATAGCTATTAGTGTTGAATTGATTTTTATTCCTTGAAAAATCAGTTAACACGATCCATGTAAATCAGACTCTTTGAAGGTAATTACACTGACCAGTTTATGCTTCATAAAAATTATCTTTATACTAAGACTGTCCTGGAATCATTATATAGGTAAGGAGAGCCACACCTTTCATTTTGCCTATAGAGTGGGAACGTAGCGTTTATTCATCAGCAACAAATATGTAGCAAGACCTCGCTTTTGTGTCTTGTTAAATGCATATTTGCCAGTAGAGGTCACTATTACACCAAGTCACTGGATTTGTAGCGCTATCACTAAGAGCAATGAGAGAACCTGGCTGAATTTATACTAAAAATCAAAATGTCAATACATAAAACATAATTACACAGATATATGCTTCTGCAAAAAAGTTAAAAGGTAAATGTAGATAATTTATCATTTTGTACTTTTAATATGCAACATCATACTGATTTTCCTGTGGTGATAAAGACAAACATATAAATCTAGATGTATATTTATATTTATATATAGTAACTCATTACGTATGCATGTCAAAAAGTCAAATATTCAAATATTTATATGTGTTTTACCTAGAAGCTTTCTAAAATATTCTTTCCAATATTATTTAAATACAAAGACACACAATCAAAAGGAATTCAATATGAACCACAACAATCTTAAATATGCAAGAAAATACAATGGCACGGGGACTTAGGAAAAATACGAATAGGGATGGAATAGAACCTTCAGCTCATGAGCAGCAAAGCCAAGAGGAAAGTAAAGATCACCTATTAAGTGAACCAAAACCTCCAGGACAGCAGGAAAAAATCTCTGGGTTTCTAGAAACCTTGGTTTATCTGCCTTGACTCCCCACTCTATGCATAAGTCAACAGTCAAGGCTTAAGTCAAGTGAGACTTCTGAGTCAAAGAATTCCCCATCTGCCTCAAACTTATATCCTCACCCCTTTGCTAATTCCTAAAACACTTCTAGGGAAAGAAAAGGCCTTTCATTGTATCATAGTGTTATAATAATAGTCTAGTAATAATGAGTCTTTATTTAAATACAAAGACTTAAGCTAACAATTTAAAGTCACTGTAGTGAACAGTTTCTCCATCTTGATGGAGGGAGACTTAAGAGGAAAGGAAATGTAAGAAGAGGTAAGAGGGAAAGAAGAAAGGAAGGGACACATACAAAGGGCCCTCTAGAAGTAGAGTAGAACATGGTGGCCAGAGGCTGAGGTGGGTAAGGGGAAGAGGGGATAGGAAGAAGTCAGTTGAAGAATACATCATACAAGTAGACAGGAGGAATACATTCAAGAGCTCCACTGCATGGCAGGGCGACTAGAGTTGATGATGATATGCTGTAATCTTTTTTTTTTTTTTTTTGAGTTGGAGTCTCACTCAGTCTCCCAGACTGGAGTGCAGTGGCTGCTCCCGGCCACTGCAGCCTCGCCTGCTGGGCTCCAGTGATCCTTCCGCCTCAGCCTGCCGAGTAGCCAGAATTACAGGCATGTGCTACCATGCCCGGTTGATTTTTTTTTATTTATTGTAGAGATGAGGTCTCGCTGCCCAGGCGGGTCTCGAACTCGCGGGCTCAGGCAAGCCACTCACCTCAGCCTCCCAAAGGCGCGGGATTACAGGCTGAGCCACCGAGCCCGGCTTAGGCTGTAATCTTGAAAACCAGGTGAAGTGAGAACCAGTGGGAGGCCCAAACTTCACCTATACGATGACCACTTAAGTACCTAACCCTGAATTGTACCCCACATCTTTAAAATAAAAAAAAGAAAGAAAAATGCAAAGAAAGTGGATACTGAGTGCTCTCACTACAAAAATAAAAGTGTAAAGTAATACACTTGTTAATTAGCTAGAGTTAACCATCCCACAACGTCTATGTATCTGGAAACATCATGTTAAACACGGTAAATACATATGATATTTGTCAAGTTAAAAAACAAAAGGGCTGCAGCAAAATAGATGACAGCCTGTGCAGACCTCAGTCTTTGGGGTTGGTCTTACTTAAAAGGGTCAGAACAAAAATACTCTGTACATGGAAGCATTTTGTTCCTGTAACTGCAAACTCAGACAATTCTACCTTGTGTGATCTACAGAGGTGATTTTTGCTTTATTTTGTTTCTAACTTTTTATTACGAACATTTTCTTCCAATATTTTAAAATGATGAAGTGTTTTAAAGTATATAGAAAAGGTGAAGGAAAGTTGAATGAAAGTAAAATGAATACCCTACTCCTGGATTCAACAATTTTTAACATTTTGCCATATTTGCTTTATCTACATATATATGTGTGGATATATATTTATTTAAATATATTAATTTAAATAAATTTACGGATTTATCATTGGCTGAACCATTTTCAAGTCAGTTGCCGATATCACATGACACTTTGCCCTTAACTACTTCAGTATGAGTCTCCTAAACATAAGAACATTTTCCTACTAACAATGACTTTCTAAAGTCAAAGAAAAATACAATTATCCTCCATCCCCACCTAGTATCTAGTTCATATTAAAATATCTAATTGTCCTGCAAAATGTCTTTGATGGCTCTATTAGCAGGGATCTAATCGAGGTTCAAGTATTGCATCTGGCTGTTGTGTCTCCAAGAACAGTAGCCTCTAGTAGTTTAGATGTGCAGAGAGTTGTTAGTTTTCAAGCACCACTACCAGGGAGCTCAGTGACTGAGGACCATACTCACTGTGACACCATTCACTACCTGAAATAATTCTCTGATATGTCAGTTGTACTGAAAAAAAAATCTGGAAATTTAATATCAAATAGTAAAGTTAAAACAATGTTTTATTTCCATATGGGGCTTTTAGATATAATATCCATAATTAGGGTTAAATCATTTGAATCAAATGAACACTGAACAATGTGATAAAGAGTACTTTGCCAAAGAATTTCTGACACTTTATCCTAGCAGATCTGTATTCCTTACAACATCCTATTACTTAAGCAAACAACATTAGTGTTTTGCTCTGGGTGAAAAAAGGAATATAAGAAAGAATATTTGGTAGTTTACCTCCATTTTGAGATTCTCCAGAAAGCACATGTAAAATTAGGACAGTAACATCTTCAACCTCCATCATATAAATACTTTTATATTGTTTCTGAGTCACAATTAACAACAAAAAAAAATGTATTTTCTGTTGGAAAATGGAAAAGAACAACTACAATAGAGATCTGGTGTGATTCTGGCTATAAGGGTACATATATTATTACGATCGGGACCACAGGCTTCCTTCTGTTAGTTAAATTCTAGTGGCTGATTCCAAATCAGAACCAATTTAAGAAAGAGTGTGTTCAGGAGTCTAATATGCAATGAAAAAATATAACTGAAATATAGAACTTGTGCATCTTAAATGAACCAGTTCATAAAATACTGTATTAAGGCCTATGCTAATTGCGACCCCATTCACCGTATGAACTAATTCTCAATAGATAAACTGTAGTGCAAAAAACCCTGGAACTTTTTTTTGTTTTTTTGTTTTTTTTTAGAAAGCAGTATTTATTGAGAGGACAGAAAAGCTCCCACAGTAGGAGGGGACCCGTAGGGGTTGCCTTCCCTGGAACTTATGCCATCAAACAGTAAAGTATTTTCACAAATAAAATTATTTGGGATGGATGGGGACAGTCTGTAGCTCATATATCTTAAACTGGTCTTGAAATAATCATGTAGCCAATGTATACTTGTGATAAAGATAAACAGAAAATATATTATTTTACCTTGTTAAAGTATCAGATGATTTTTCTAATTCCTCACACTCCATATGAAACACACTAGAAAAAGAATCCTGAAAACAGAGTGATAACACAGACTGATAAATAAGTTTGAAAACTTCCTAGATACAGACATACATGCCATGAAATTGACTAAAGAGTCCAATACTTGTAATATATTTTCACTTACTCTCAGATAAACTGACCCAAGTTCTCATTTCATGACAGCCTCAAAGCTGCTTCCCATTATTAAAACTTTTGTTCATATCATTTCTGATCTTCTCTTGCAAGAATACTTACTTGAATTTTGGTTTTTGTTCTACCAGGTGCTAATGAACATATTAGTTTCAGAATTTCTCTATGCTTTTGTTTTGGCTTTTATGAACACATTGATTGCTGTTAAATTCCAGGTAAGGAATGCCTTCTTAAAAAGATGTATCATTCAATATCTTTTGTGATCATTAAATAATTGTAAAGATTTTAGCAAGACAGTGAAATACTTTTATAATTACATTAAAAAGTAGAATAGCATATTTCACGTATACTCTATTTACCACTGAATAAAGAATTGGAAGAAAACAAGTAAAACAACAATAATTTAATTTGGTGATGGAAGCACTCGGTATATTATTTTCTTCCTTATATTTTGATATTTGCTCATGTTGGGGAAATATTTTTAAATAAATAATTATAATATAAATGAACATCAAGTCACATAATTCCTTTTCTAAATCCTACAACCTAAGTTGTCAAAAAGTGAGCAAAATATCTTAAAGGGCCTATTGTTGAGCTGAGTTTCCAAGCACCACTGACCTACATCAGTGTGGTGTGCTACCAAAACAGGTGTTATCTGGTAGAGGTATGCGCTGAATGTTGACTAAAGTGATACTTAAGCTATCTAAAAGGGGAGTGCCTCATGTATTAATTTCAAAAAGTAAATGCAAAAGAGCAGGTCACACAGCAAAAATGACAAATTGACAAACTGCATTAACAAATTCTGACCTGAACTTTAAAAGGACAGCTACAATCTTGTAATCGCCTCTACATTAAGGATTTTATAACTGATTAAAAAATTCTAAATAGTATCTATGACGATACTGATTATCTTTTAGCTCATCATCTGATGATGATTAATGAGAATTGTTTTAATAAATGCATCTATCAGATATATATGCACATTTAAAATGGCTGAGATAGCCGGGCTCGGTGGCTCAGCCTGTAATCCCGCGCCTTGGGAGGCTGAGGTGAATGGATTGCCTGAGCCTGCAGGTTCGAGACCCGCCTGGGCAACTTGGCAAGACCTCATCTCTACAATAAATAAAAAAAAATCAGCTGGGCGTGGTAGCATGCGCCTGTATTTGCAGCTACTTGGAAGGCTGAGGCGGAAGGATCGCCGGAGCCCAGCAGGTCGAGGCTGCGGTGGCCGGGAGTGGCCACTGCACTCCGGTCTGGGCGACAGAGTGTGACTCCAACTCCAATAAATAAATAAATAAATAAATAAATGACTGAGATATTGGGCCATATCGTAGTCTTATACCTAAACCAATGAAAATTTCTTAATATGAGTATTGAATACCTTTTATTATTCTACTTTCCCCAAAACATCAGTTCAGATATCCTTCTTTTATTTTTTATTTTTATTTTTTGAGTTGGAGTCTCACTCTGTCACCCAGACTGGAGTGCAGTGGCCGCTCCCGGCCACCGCAGCCTCGACCTGCTGGGCTCCGGCGATCATTTCGCCTCAGCCTTCGGAGTAGCCGGAATTACAGGCATGCGCTACCATGCCCGGCTGATTTTTTTATTTATTGTAGAGATGAGGTCTCGCTGCCCAGGCGGGTCTCGAACCCGCGGGCTCAGGCAATCCACTCACCTCAGCCTCCCAAAGGCGCGGGATTACAGGCTGAGCCACTGAGCCCGGCGGGTTCAGATGTCACATAGGGATTATACCGGACCTATACAAGTGGTAGTCCCCACTCTTTTCTACTAATCCAGAAATGAACAACCTATTCTTAGAGACTAAAGGATAAAGAACAGGAAAAACAATGACATAAAAAAAGAGGTATTCCAGATGCAGTGGTTCAAAGATGAGGAGGGAAAGAAACTGCTAGAGGAAAATTGCCTTAGACCAGGGGCTCTGATTCTACCGGCACATTTGAGACAGTCGGCCTGTCTGTAAGAACCCAGCACTCTATGCCAATGCTGCACCTTTCCCCACACTCCTGGAAATGCTTTTTCACGTTACAAATCAGTGGACTGAAATCTACTGATTAGAATAGTTTGGTGGTTTTTCATTGCTGGTAAAGAATGTGGGACTTACAGGTACTTTTAGTAATATTGTATCAATTGAGCAGCACCTTCTGGTTTCTAAACAGTTTTTGGTAAAAAGGAATTTTTATATCTAACCCATTCACAATAGGAGTCTACCTGTTCAAAGCAACAAGGGCTCCACTATTTCTGGCCATGAAAAGTCAGCCCACTGTAATGACAATGTATGTCTTCATCAAGACAGTATAGCCATTGAGAGAGAGAGAGATCACCAACATTCCCTTTGCGGGGTGGGGGGAACAGACAAAGGTGAAAAGAGGTACTGAAGGGCACCCTCCACCCTCTACCCCCACTTATCTTCAAGCAGAACAGCTCATACTCTGATTGGCTAGATAGATAGAGAGCTAGATATCCATATACAGCTGGGCTTGAGAGAGGATTCTGAGGCCAAAATCAGGTTTAAAAGGGGTGCTTACAGAAATATAAATTTCTGTCTTTCTAAAAATAAAAAAGTCATACTCTGTACTCACGGAGCAATCTTCATCCACTATGAAAATGGTGCATTTTTGCACCTGCATAAAAGAGATAATAGTGGCAGCTATTTTCTTCAGAATTACTTCTAATGATTGTTGTTCTTCAAAAATTAAGCTAGCAAGGTCAAGCAGCACCTAGACAAGAAAATTAAGAGCTTACTATTTAGTAGTTATTTGTAATTATTAAAGCACAATGATTTATATGGGCTATAAGTTGTTTATAGAATCTAGTAGATTATGATCAAGCATACATTCAAATATTAAATATGTCTCTGCTTATTAACAGAATTCTCTGTTGACTGTTCGTAAGGTTAATATAGTTGTTAAGCTCACAGGCTCCGAAGCCAGAATAATGAATTTTTAATTCTGAATTTCTTTGTGGATGGCTTTGTGGCCTAGGGCAAGTTTCTTGAACATGAAGATATGATTAGTACCAAAATCATAGGGCTATTAGGAGAATTGAATAAGTTAATATCTATAAATCATTTTGAACGGTATCTAGTACCTAATACAAACTGTTAATGTTGTTGTTCAAAACTCTGAGATCATTATTTGTCAATATTGTCACAGAGCATAATAAATATTATCCAAAATAAACAAAATTTTAAGAGTTTCTTTTGTGTTTTTTTCTGGTAATTTCTCTTTCCAGCAACTGAACACCATAGGAGTTCTTCTAATCTCATAAAGCATTTATCTGATGAAGGAGGAGATAAGGTATTACAGAAAATTTATCAGAGGTGACACAACCTACCTGATGTCCAAAAGATGACCAGAAATCGTTCTGGTGAAGTGGAAAAGAAAGATTTCAGGCAAAAATAATAGAATTGAGAAAGAGCAGCATATTGAGTTTTCATAAGGTTTTATGGGACACAGAGAAGAGAAGAACCGGAAGATGAGATTGCAGAGTTATACAGAGAAAGAACCCCAAAAGCCCAGTCCACCTTTTGAAGCAGTTTGGACTGTGACGCTCTGCAGGAGAAAAGTGACATGATCGCACCTGCATTTGTAAAAATGGGGACTGGATGAAGGGATTGCAAGAAAGGAGCGGGAAGAAGTCGGAATACTGCAGTTGAAGAAAATGAAAGGTCTGAGATCTTATTAACACGGGTTCTAAACAGAGAAAATAGAGGGCGGAGAAGATAAATTACCAAAGAAATAATGAAAAAAGAATCACATAGCACCAAAGGGCTTAAGTCTCCAGACTGGAAGGGATGACCTGACATACAGGCATCAGCAAGATGAACGAAGAGTCAGGTTGTGAAATTAAGTTACAGAAGCAGAGATAACGAATCTGAAAAACATTTAAACAGACTATATATGCATATACATGCTAAAAATAAAATATGTATAATATGTCATATAGCTTATATTAATGTTATAGATAATATACATAAAATATCTTCAAAAGAGCCAAGAATCAGAACAACAAGGATGCTAGGAGACAACGCACTCTCTTTAAACTCTGAGAAACTGATTTTTTTTTTTTTGAGTCGGAGTCTCACTCTATCGCCCAGACTGGAGTGCAGTGGGTGCTCCTGGCCACCGCAGCCTCGACCTGCTGGGCTCCGGCGATCCTTCCGCCTCAGCCTTCCCAGTAGCTGGAATTACAGGCATGCGCTACCACGCCCGGCTGATTTTTTGATTTATTGTAGAGATGAGGTCTCGCTGCCCAGGTGGGTCTCGAACCCGCGGGCTCAGGCAATCCACTCACCTCAGCTTCCCAAAGGCGCGGGATTACAGGCTGAGCCACCGAGCCCGGGGAGAAGCTGATTTTTAAATCTAGAATTTTGTACTCAAAATGGCCAGAGACAGTGACTCACACCTGTAATCCCAGTACTTAAGGAGGTCAAGGTGAGAGGATTGCTTGAGCTCAGGAGTTCGAGACCAGCATGGGCAACATAGTAAGACTTTGTCTCTAGAAAAATATCAAAAACTATTTGGGAGGCTGAGGAGAGAGGCTCACTTAAGCCCAGTAGTTTGAGGCTGCTGTGAGCCATGACTGTGCCACTGCACTCCAGCCTGAGTGACAGGGAGAGACCTCAGCTCGAAAAAAAAAAAAAAAAAAAGAATTGTATACCCAAAGTGGTAGGATGGTACAATAGATGTTTTCATACATGATAAGACTCAGAAAGTTGACCTCATTTGTGCCTTTTCTTAAGTAGTTAATTGAGAATATACTGCAGCAAAAGAAGGAAGTTAATTGAGAAAGAAATTGTTATGGAATCCAGAAAACAGTGGACTCAAAGAAATCAGGGAAGAAAAGTTCTTTGATGACATCCGTGCAACAGGCATCGGGAGTTGTTTAACTCAGAAGAGCAAAGGTAGAGAATCTCAATTCAGCCATCTCCAAGGAAAAGGGGAACTCAACAGGATGCCTAATATAATGAAGAGTTTCAGGGGAAAAAAAAAGAATATGAGACTACATTAGAGCAAAGAGTTCAAGGAAAAAAAGAAATGCAGAACATCGAGAAAAATGAAAAGTTATGTAACAATGGCAATACACATATTTATATATTCACAGTACTTACACTTTGTTTTAACTTGCAACTTTAGAATTAACCTAAACAAAGCTTAAGAAAAGTTCATCATGGTCACAGAACAATGTATTTGCTACCAACACGGGTAACATAAAAGAAAAAATCCTGGTGGGAAAAGCAACCAAGGAGCTGCAGTTGGAAGGAGAGATAAAGGGACAGGAATTCTGAGATGTTTGTGCTATGAAGTATGGCATCAAGGGTAATGTCTAGAGTTGTCCAAGCAAATACCAAACCATTATTTAACATCACAAATGCAACCCATACAGTCACTTACAACAGGGACATAATGATGCTGGCAGGCTAAGGGTACTGGCAGGAAGGGGGGGTGGTGTAAGTCAAGTAAATACTCATCTCCCAGATTAATGAATATCATCTAACAGTGATAAAGCGACCGAGCATGGAAAATAAGAAACAAAAATTACTATTAGAAAAAAACAGCGAATATATCTAGAAACTGAATCCGTACCATTTAAACTTTTAATCTGCATATATTTTGATAAAAACTTTAACTTTAAAAAAAAATGTCTATATTCCTCTTTAGTAATCAGACTTACCTGATTTCTCTTGTTCTCCAGCAGGGAAGTCTCATAAAGTTGAGCATTGTGAAGGACAATACCGCAAAATGCCAAGTAAGCAGCAAAGTCCTGGAAAACAGATAATAGACACATAAGAATCATCTATGAAACTATATAGTTATGTTGCCTGAAACACAAAAGACATCCAAAAATATTTACAGTTAGAAAGTTAAAAGTGTAGATGGTTGTTCTGCATAAAATTAGGCTATTACAAAAAAACTAACTGCTACCTGGATGGTATAACAGGTAGACGTCATGTATCAGGGGTCTCCTAAGATCATTCACTATGTATAAATTAATAAGGAACTGTTTATATTATTTGAAATTGCAATTCATTCTATGCAAAATTTGGTGTAGTCTCTGCATGATATTAATACTATAATTTATGCTGAAACTATATAAATAGCTTGGAACTTATTGCTGCAACAAAAAAGTTTGCTGTACTTGTGAAGAGAATATTGGCAGTAAGATGAAAAAGTTAAATGTTATATAAAGTTGCAAATATGAATTTAAATATTCTTTTTGACATCCATCTATCATCCTCATTATACTATATAGAATTACATGCTCACAATTATATCAATGATTGATTAAAATAAATCTTTAGGCGATGTATTCACAACTATGAAATTATTATGTTAAGATGTGACAGAGCCTAAAAATTGCAAATCAATTCAAATGGGATTTACAAACATATTAGAGGGACTATAAACATAATAATGGAATACAAAGTCAACCTAAAAACATGTTTCCCCACCAAATATCCTCAGCTATCACTACCAGAACAGGAGGCTAGATGTCTATTACTCTGATTTTAAAAAGCACTTGCTATGTTCTAAAGCAGCTTAAACATGGGGACCATCACAGGTGACAACCCAGCCCACAGCCCCAAGACAAAAATAACTGTCTTTTTTGAGTGTCTTCCAAATTCAAAGCTCCTACTAATTTTCAGGGGAAGAACATGAATAGCAATGGGCTTAGAAGAGCAAAAACCGAGAGGGCTATGATATACATATGATTATATATTTGACAGGAAAAATAATAAAACCTACTCACAGAATGAAGTTATAAACAGATTTAAGGGCTTTCTTTCATCCTTAAATGGAAAACATGTCAACGAGGTTGGTGTGCAGAAGGTATTCTTCCAGAGTTGGAGGAGAAGGATAATAAAAATAATGCTTACTGCTGTTCTTTCTGAAGCTAAGCTCACATCATCCAGCCTGAATTCGCACCTTGGCGCCCCACCGTCTGTGTGCAAAGCTTATAAAACACTGGGAAACTTTCTTCACCAGGAGGCAATTTCAATTTTTAGCCAACCAGAAGTGCTGAACTTGGAGCAGTACTTTTATGGGTTTTACTCAAGGTTGGATCTCTATAGCAGTGATGAAAGGCAAATGATACAGCTAAAGTACCATAAGTCACCCTCTATATGGCACCAACATGTCCACAGCCCCGTGGAGATGGCAGCATATTGGGGAGGGCTCTGGGGATTCCTGCTGACTTAACAACACAGATACTCACAAGCCAGATAAACACTGTATTTAGCTTAACATACACTTTTGAAAAATGTTAACTGTAATGTTTGTGATCAACCATTCAACAACAGCTAATCCTAGCAGTCCAGACACTTTTTTTTTTCTTTTTGAGTTGGAGTCTCACTTTGTTGCCCAGGCTAGAGTGCAATGGCATGATCAGGGTTCCCCACAGCCTTGAACTACAGGGCTCAGGAGATCCCTCCACCTCAGCCTTCCAAGCAGCTGGGACAACAGGTGTGTGCCACCACGCCTGCTAATTTTTTTTATTTTTTGTAGAGAGAGGTCTCACTGTGTTACCCAGGCTGGTCTAACTCCTGGCCTCAGTGATCCTCCTGCCTCAGCCTCCGAAAGTGCTGGTATTATAGGCATGAACCATCATGCCTAGTCTAGACACTTCAAAGATAAAGTATCTTCCTAAACTGGTATCATGCCAGACACCAGGTTTTCTTACCTTTTCATCTTTTTCAGTGAATGTCCCACCATTCCCTGATTTTTTGTTGATGGCCTGGGCTACACCAACAACCTGGGAAGAAGGGAGAAAAGTGACAAGATTTTCAGTGACTCAGATTCTTGGTATAAATTCACCAAAGTATGTTTGAGGAAGATATTCTACATGTGCTTTCACATAACACTAGGCCACAGAACAAAATAAAAGCCCTCAACTGAATTTGTTCTCTATCACAACATTCTTTTTCCTACAAACACTCTGGATGTTTTTAATTTCTTAGGACCCAGAAATGTTTGATTCTATGATTTCGCCCGGCATTCTGAATGACATTATTAGCAATCACATTTTAAGTAAATCTTTTCCATAGCTTTTGAATATAATCACCAAATTTCAATTGCATTTCAAATAAAGTAAATCATGAAATGAACATTTTATATTGGTTTAAATACAAAATTTCAAAATAGCTAAGTGTTCTTTTACTAAAAATGAAACAGAGTCCGGTGGTTAATCATAGAAGGAATTATTGGTCACCAGGATCATTAGGGTGAAAATAATTCTTAATGTAGGGATGTAGTCCAGCTGTTTCTGAAACTTCTGCCCTCAAAATTATTTTACCTTCAACAGGCTTATTTTTGGGAAAAGAGGTTATTGAAAAATCCAAACAGAAATTAACAGGCTGAGTCTTATTTCAAATAGATCAAAAGGCATTTGAGAGTATATTTTACTTACCTTTTAGTTCCAACTTCATATTGAATTATTACCTTAGTCTTATAAAGACCTTCAACTTGCTTTTGCCTCCTCTTTATTACTTACAAATCTCACCCTTTCCTTCATTCTGCAATTTAGTATCAGTGGAATAAGTAATTACTCTCTAACTGGTTACTCTCTAGGAATATGCAGTCCTTAGTTTGTGTGGATGGTTCATCCTTGCTTTCTCAGCTCTCTCTAGTCTCTTAGCTTTAAAAAAAGGATATAAAATTCCCCCCCCAGGACAGCAGAACAAGGAAGGGGAAATACATCCTGTCTGATGTAGTTTTCTAGTCTCCATAAACCTTTCTTTTTTTCCCCTTATGATAGAGTAAAGGGATATTAATTTTTTTAAAAAACAGAATTATCCAATTATCCTATGGCTTATTGCCTTAGTTCAACTCTCCTATGTTTTTGCACACTCTTTATCTTTTCAAAATAGCTGAAAGATTTCTAGATGCTAGAACCTCAATGACTAAATGTCTAGGAAAATATGTCTAAGGTCAAAAACGTTTAGATTGTAGCTAGGCATGTTCACTTGAAATAAAACTGATGAGAACCACTTGAAGGTCACTGGGGTCTAATATAGAGCAATATAAGTATAAACAGGTTATTTATTTTACTTATTTATTTTTTTGAGTTCGTGTCTTACTCTGTTGCCCAGGCTGGAGTGTAGTGGCACCCTCACGGCCACCCCAGCGTGGACCTGCTGGACGATCCTTCCTCTTCAGACTTCCAAGTAGTCAGAAATACAGGCACACACTACCATGCCCAGTTAATTTTTTTTTAAATTGTAGAGACGAGGTCTTGCCAAGTTGCCTGGGCTGGTCTCGAACCCACAGGCTCGGGCAATCCACTTGCCTCGGCCTCCCAAAGTGCTGGGATTACAGGCTAAGCCATGGAGCCCTGCCTAAATAAGTTATTTTAAGTGTTCATTCATTCACTCAACAAATATGGAAGTGCCTACTATGTAGCAAAGAGTGATAAAAACTGAGGAAATGACGACTCTGTAGGAGCTCAAAATCAAGAATGAGTGATAACATAAACATGCACTTAAAGGATGGTGTGTTCAGTTTCATGATACAGATGGCGATGGATTGTTAAGAGCACTGAAGGGCACTTCGTGTGGGTCAAGAAAAAGACTTCTCAGAATTGCTAGCATTTACATTTTCTTTAATAAATGGTTTTATATAAGAAAGACATTTTAAATCCTTCGTTTAAGAAAGATAGGTTTAAAACATATCTAGAGACTGTCATGCAAAACTTCTGATAATTATACAGTACCATAGCATATGCTGATATGCTTTTTGTACCTGAAGCTGTGTAAAAAACTGTACTAAGCAAGAAAATAAAGAGAAAGTTCTTGCTCAATCAAAAATATAAAGAGACAAAATATCATCTGTTTATTAAAATGACCAATAATCAAACTATATTAACTTTTTAGTCATTATTATATCACCTTAAATTGACAGTTTCTTTCAAAGTTTTAAAAGCTAAAGAATCAGCTGCATAATGTATTTTTTGAAGTCAAGTCTAATAAAAGGAATAATATTGGTTAGATTAGGTAATTGGAGTTCCTTGAAAATGAGATCAAAGTCAGTGTGTAACAAATTAGCTCATGGCGGTCCATTACTACAGATGTTCGCAACCTACTCAGTAATCTATAAACGGAGTGACTGAATGATGATTTAAAATTCTAGGGAAGATCTGGAAGAAAAGAGGATGAGAACTGTTTTACAGGTGGATCAGGGAGCATCAAACACTACCAGAAAAACAGAGCCCCAATATGGCTTGTTTCAGTGGATCTGAAGAATCTTCCATTTAATGAGAAGATAACTTACAACAAGACTTCTTCAGTAAACATGGGAGGGATTCCCGGAGCACTCTATTAAAACCTAGGTCCCAGTTGCAACTTAAGCCTTTTCTCTAAGAACTGGAACAAAACAAAGATGCCCACTCACTACTTTATTCAACATAGTACTGGAAGTTCCAGCCAGAGCAATCAGGCAAGAGAAAGAAACAAAAAGCTTTCAAGTTAGGAAAAAGGAATTGTCCCTCTTTGTGGTGATGTGATCTTATATCTTATATCTCAAAGTCAAGCCTAGTAAAAGGAATAATGTTGGTTAATTAGGTCATTGGAATTCCTTGAAAATGAGGTCAAAGTATGTGGCAAATTAGCTCATGGTGGTCCATTACTACAGATATTCACAACCTACTTGGTAATCTATAAACTGAGTGACTGAAGATTAAAATTCCAGGGACGATCTGGAAGAAAATAGGATTTGAAATGTTTTACAGATGGTTTAGAAAAATCTAAAGACTCCACCAAAAACCTCTTAATTTGATAAATTCAGTACAATTGGAAGATACAAATCAACATACAAAAATCAGTAATGTTTCTCTTCCCCAATAATGATCTATCTAAGAAATTAAGATGGCAATCTCATTTACAATAGCTACAAAAAATAAATAAAATACACAGAAATACATTGAACCAAGAAAGTCAAAAGATCTCTACAAAGAAAATGACAAAACAATGACCAAAAACAAATGGATGTAACCCATATGCATGGATCTGAAGAATTAGTATCTTTAAGATGACCATACTGTCCAAAGCAATCTAGAGATCCAATGCAATTGAATTGACCCTATCAAAATGCCAAAGTCATTAAAAAAATTAGAAAAATCAATTCAAAAGTTCATATGGGATCAAAAAAGAGACCAAATAGTCAAAGCAATTCTGAGCAAAAAGAACAAAGCTGCAGGCATCACGCTGCCTGACTCTTCAAAATATACTACAAGGCTAGAGTACCCAAAATAGCATGATATCAGTATAAAAATTGACACATAGACTAATGAAACAGAATAGAGAACCCAGAAATAAAGCTACATATTTTCAGCCAACTGATTTTAGACAAAACCCACAACAACCTACACTGGAAAAAGAACACCTTTTCAATAAAAGTTGCTGGGAAAACTGGATAGACTCCTATCTCTCACCATAAACAAAAATCAACTCAAAATTAATTAAAACCTTATATGTAAAATTCAAACTATAAAAATACTAGAAGAAAACCTAGAGAAAACTCTCCTAGACACTGGGCTAGGCAAATAATTTATGACTAAGACTTCAAAAGCACAGATAATGAAACCAAAAGTAGACAAATGGGACTTAAACTAAAAAGCTTCTGCACAGCAAAATAATTAATCAGCAGAAAGAAGAGACAGCCTGTTGAAAAGGAGAGCATTTTTGCAAACTATTCATCTGATGGAGACTAATATAGAGACTATACAGGGATCTCAAATAACACAACAGGAAAAAGAAAACAAAATGAATAATCCCATTAAAAAGTGGGCAAAGGACATAAATAGATATTTCTTCAAAGACATACAAATGGCCAACAGGTGTGTGGAAAAATGCTGAACATCACTAGTCATTAGAGGAATGCAAACCAAAACCTTAATGAGATAACATCTTACTCCAGTAAGAATGGCTATTATTAAAAAGACAACAACCACACACAAAAACAAACAAACAAAAAACAGATGTTGCTGAGGGTGTAGAGAAAAGAGAATGCTTATACACTGTTAGTGGGAATGTAAACCAGTACAGTCACTATGGTAAACAGTATGACAATTTCTCAGAAATCTAAAAGTAGAATTATAGTTTGATCCAGCAATCCCTAGTGGGAAAATAAATAAATGTAAACACCTTCATTTGCATATTTATTGCAGTGCTATTCACATCAGCAAAGATATGAAAACAACCTACGTTTCCATTAGTGGATGAAAGATTAAGAACATGTGGCATATATGCACAATGGAAAACTACTTGGCCATAAAAAAGATAGAAATGCCATTTGCGGACAACACGGATGGAACTGGAAGTCTTTATCTTAAGTGAAATAAGTCAGGCACAAAGGAAGCTAACAAACTGGATCACATGGAGGTAGAGAGTAGAAAGATAGATAATAGAGACTGGGAAGGGTGAGTAGGGGTGAGAGGGGTAAGGACGAAAAAAAGTAGGTTATAGGGTACAACCTTGCAGTTAAAAAGGAATAAATTCATTGTATAAGCAGAGTAGGGTGACTATACATAACTATACATAAAAAATGTTTTGTACTTGGGTGATGGACACCCCTAAATACCTGTTGATCATTATGCATCACATACATGCAGCAAAGTTTCACATGTACTCCATAAATGTGTACTCATAAAAACAAATAAATAAAAATTAAAAAAAAAATTAAAACAACCAAGCAAGTTATTTCAAGAGATATTAGACCAGGACAATATAGCTGACCCTCAGTATCCAACTGCAATAGAAA